AGTATGCTTACATTTTATAAGGCTTCTGTGAGGTTATTTGGGAAATATCACCGTTGAGCGATCCAGTGGTCACTTTGTAATCACTTCCACAAAGAAGGCATAGCAAAATCTTGGGATGTTGAAATTACCATGAACTGCCTAAAAGATCTCAACTCTAGGGAGCAGCATACTTGTAGAAGAAAGCACAAGTGATAAATCTTAGATCTGAAAGTATGATGAGAGTATAAAAGAGATTTTGTAAGATCATCTGGAATGACATCACATTAACTGAAGTGTTGAGGAATTATCAGAAATCTATGATTACATCATTGACACAAAGACATTTATTCCATCCATAAATGCTAGGTTTTCTAGACTACTAATGGAGGAAATGGGAACAAAAAAACCCCCAAAACATGCCCTATCAATGATAGTATGATACCATGGCAAAATGTCAAGACACTAAAGTTCATGAGGTTAAGTCAGGCCAAATCTCTCATTTAATTCAACCATGCTTGTTGAAAAAGAAATGGGGGATTTGGCACATAGTATTTTAGAAAAATGAGTAATGTCAACTTAAATATGATTTTGGTGCTCGACATTAGAATTACTGTAGTCTGAAAAACACCTTCCTTTTAAAAATGTCAACACTTTCTTAATGATGCAGAAGAAAAATGTAGATGATTTATAAAGTATCTACCTGGATTCTGGTCAGCTCTTTTGGAGCAAGAGCAAATAAAGCCATGTTGACATTAGCTGTGTTGTTAATACACAAACAAGGCAAAAGTGAAACAGTTCTGCTGGCCTTAACCCAGATGGATTCTGTGTTGGCCAGATTTCTAAAGTACATAACAGATGGCAAGATAAAATTGTTTTATATATTTTCTAAAATAGCAAATAGTAATATAATCATATAAAAATATATGTTTTACCAACAAGTAGAAAATATAACTGCTTCTGCTTCATGTGTATGTTTATATAGATTTCACTTAGTCTACAAAGTGTGGCATGCAACTCTCTTAAATTGAAAGGACTCTAAGTAACATAATAAATTTAAGATATGAGACATAGGAAAATACTCTCCAGGGATTATGAATTATGTATATATATATATACATATATATAATAATATAATATATATATATATATATCACCCTGCTGGGTGTCTGGAATCATATCAAAAAGTTTAGATACCGATAGTTACCACAAAATTCTTTAATGAAGATGTAACGAATACATGACATAAACATCATACAAAATATAACAACTACAAGCACATGCTGATTTGATAGAAGAGTTGTGTGAGACTGCTGGTAGGTTGTAACAGTAGAGTCATAGGGGAAACATTTTCAAGGTCCAGATATAGTGGCCTTGAGTCAGATTCAGTAAGTCTGGACTGGAGTCTCAAAATCTGCATTTTTAAAAATCCCCAGTTCAATTTTATGTTCAGCCATCAGAAAGTCCTAAGACTAGAGAATAGACTGGCTAACTCAATGAATGCTGATTAGAAGAAATGGCCTTCAGAAGTGGTTCACTCACACCATATTCTATGAAACACCCTTTACTGAATAGCAACTACGTGCCAGGTACTAGGACTATGAAACTAAAAGTAAACTAAATCTATGAGGGTAGTGTGATAATTCAAGTGAAAGAGGCATGTATATATAAGCAGCCCAGGGAGCTCGTGAGAGGAATGTTTACATGATAAAAGGTGTTCAGAATCTTGTCTTGGAGGAGGTAAGACTACAGTTGGAGCTTGAAAGACAGAGAAGAGAAAAGGCTTTAGGGAAAAGAGCGAAGATCAACAGAACATCAAGAAGGAAGAGAGGAACAGGGAAAAGAAAGCTTATAGGCAAAGATATTTCTGATAATTAATAGTTTCCAGATATTTCAAAGTTAAATATACAAATGACTTAACAAATGACTTAATAATTATTCATTTCCAAATGTAATCTTAATCCATTTTCATAGTGGAGTAGTCCTCATAATATGTTAATGTGATTGTTGTCTTTAGTTTTTAGAAAATATGAAGAATTAAAAAAATACAGTGTAAAGATCTGAATCTCAGCTTCAGCATTTAATAAGTATATATCCTCAAGAAAGACACCTACTTCTCCCAGATTCAATTCCTTTTATAAAATGGGCTTAATATTAAGGTTTTTAGTAGGATTTAAATATAAACTGCATTCATTACTTTCCTCCCCACAGCACCTTCTGTTTCCAAGCAAGTGGTGCTACCAGTAATTAAATTGTCCAAACCAGAAACCTTGGCATTACAGTTGACATACCCCAAGGCCATCAATAGCTTGTATGTCATCTTCGTGTGACCTAGAAAAATCCTCCTCCCTCCTGGCAGACACAGGCCACAGCAGAGCACACGATCAGGTGAGCTGGGCTTAAAGGAGATTTCAGCACCTACTCATCTCCTGGGCAGCCACCCCTGTGCAAGGCAACACCTGCAGAACTGGGTGCAGCAGCCCTTTTCACTCATTGCCTCACTACTACATCCTACCACTCCTTACACACTATTATTGTTGTTGCCTAAACATGCTTTGCGACTGTACACACCTTGCCATCCCCAAAGTTCCCCTAATCCAAACTACTGAACTCTAACACACAGATGATTTTAACAGCCGCCTCATTGCCTCTGGTCTTGCTTCCCTCTATAACCTATAAACTTTTCAAGTGAATATATGGTAAGTCATCTATCTTCTTGCTAAAAAGCTTGTCATGGCTTCCCATCACCTTAGGTAAAAAGAGAGGGTACTTTCACAGGTACCATTTCACGGGTATACAAGATCCTTCATGCCTGACTGGTCCTCTGCTTACCTCACCAGACTCCTTTATCACCACTTCCCACTGACTGCAGTTCTTTCCAGCTTGATGGAATCTGCCTGGTTCCTCTGCTTCCTCATGCATGCTATTCTGCCCCAGACGCCTTCAATCTCTTAATTCAGCCAACTCTTGCTTATATTTCAGGTCTTAGCTTAGATATCACTTTTTCTGGAAAACTTTTCCTGACCCCACAAGAGTAGTTTGGGCCTTCCTTCTATGTCCTTCTTTATCCGACACTACCCTTTTCTTTCCATAATATAGCATTTATTTTATACTGTAATTGTAGATTTAATTATTTGTCTTCCCGACTAGGCAATAAGTGCTGGGAGGACAGACAACATGCCTGGCTTGTCAACTGTGGTACTGCTGTTCTCTATGTGCCTGGTACACGGAGACCGTTCCATAAATATTTATCAAGTTGGCTTAAACTAAACATTAACAAAGCAATTAGCATGGTGTCTGTCACATAGTGTTTCATAGATGCCAGCTCTTATATTATTATTAGTAAAAGACTCCTTTCTTGGTTCTTTGACTCGTCAATGACCATATTGGTAAGAATTACCAGGAGATGAGAAAACGTATATATGTATACATTTCTAAAGAGTATGATTTTTTTTGACACATATTTATATCCTTCATTTCTAGAATGGGACCAGGAACATGAGTGTTCAAATTGTTAGTTGAATTGGTGGAACGGAGTTATTCTTCTTTAGAGTTAAAAAAAGAAACTAACACTGTCTTATTGTTTCACATTTATATTGTTTGCAGTACTAGAAATTCAGCAGTGAAAACACTTTCTTTTTGTTGTAGAACCTCTGTTGAGTACCTATGGTTTGAATATCTGTCTATTCACTGCTGTATCTATAAGATTGGTTACATCCTATTCACCTCACACGATTTAATGCATGAAAGAAATCAGTTATTCCAAGTACCTGTAACCATGGGAAATGTAAGAGTGGAGGCAAGAGAAGCAACTAAAATATCCCTAAGAACATAAAATTACTTGTAGCTTTTGCATTAGGAAAAAAAGATGCTAACATAGGATACAACTATTATTTGTATGAATATTAATCAATAAATATTTGCACGAGTCTCACCTCTTTTTTCTTACTTTATCCTTAAAATAATCCTGCTTGTCAATTAACAATGGCTAGCATATTGAATTACCATGTACCAGGTACTGTTCAAGGATTAGCACATAAATTCTTAAAATTCTTAAAACTCTATGAGAGAGGGTTTATCTTTATCAGATAATGATACAGAAAGGTTCATCAACATTAAGTTCCCAAATTTATTTAGGTTGAGTTCTTTAGCAAGTCATCCTTGAGATGGAGTTTAATGTGCAGAACGTTTAATAGGGAGTGCCTTTGGGATCGATATCTGTAGAAGAGAAGGAAAAGAGGCAGGACTGGGAAGAAGGAGAAGCTGAGCTCTGATACAGGCCTGACGATAGCTTTATCCATCCTTTGAGAAGTTTGAGAGATAAAACAGCCCATCAGAGTTGTCCTACATTCGACCAAAATGGCCAGGACTTGACACCCTGGTCTCAATCATTGACTGCTCTCAGAAACAAAGAAGTTCATGAGAGCTGAAGAAATTCCTGAGAACTAAAGGCTGTTTGTCAACAGCACTTGCAGAGGCTGGACACGTCCTTCCTTTAAAGAGAGATCTTGTTGGCACATTACAGTGTTCAACAAAGTCCACGCCTTGTGTTGCTTGAACCCTCTCATTTATATGCTAGGAGCAGCATCTCCAGAATCTAGTATCCCATCTTCCTGGGGGAAACTTACAAAAGGAAGGTTAGTCTACAAGCAGTCTTTGGATAGTGAGTAATACTGACATCTCCCTCTTCTATTATCTATCCTGGGTTCTTCTCACCCTTGGCTAGCACTTCTGCTAGTCTCAATTGCTTAACTCTTGGCCTGAACCATCACTCCTGAAGGGTCTGAGCCCCTGATCACAACAAACACTCAGGATGGGGTTGCTGCATTATTCATTTACTGTCACAATTGGTCAAGAAAGTACCGAGAGACACCTAAGAACATCACCTGGTGCCAGATTCCTTTCTTTTTCCATTTTGTAACTTAAGTTCTTCATTCTTCTGATAATCAGAGCCAATTGCCCCTGTCAAGATAATGACTTCACTTCTTGACTGCTGTTCCCTATAAACAATAAGCTTGACTTACCCAGATATTAGCCACAGCTTATGGCTGAATGGAAATCTTTGTGTCCCCTGATGAAAGTGTCCCCGCTTTGGGCAATGAGAACTCTCATCCTGCAGATCCCAGAGCTGTAGGGACAGGAAGCACAAATTTCCCAAATGAATCAGTGAGAGTGATTACAGACAGAGCCACTCCTCTTTCCACCCCTGAATTCCTGGACTACTGTATTCTTCCTTACTAAGAAGACAGTACTGTATAAAGATAGGTCTCAAGATAATATACTGAATTCTAGAAGATGTCACCTCATCTTCATAATATACACCTCCAAACTGGTGTTTCAGTTGGGTCTTTAGCAGTCTGTGACAGCATTCTAGCAGGCCGCTACTTGGTGCACACTTGGTGCATATATTACATAGGCGGTACTGTAATATGTTAGGTGGATCTCGGGTCACAGGCTCATTTTATATTTCCCTCATTATAAAGTAGGTTCCCTGGTCTGACAGGTTATTATGGATCAATATTCCATAGTTCCCAGATAATGATGCTGCCTGAGGCCCTATGACAGGAGAAGCAAATGCACACCTAGGACATATATAATATCTGTGAGAATAAACCTATGACACTTCCAGGAAGGGGTCCAATGCAGTCAATTTGCCACCATGGGGCTAACTGGTATCCTTAGAGGATAGGGCCAATCTATAGGCCCAGCATCATTCTCTATCACTGGCAGGCTGGGTATTTAGTGCCTGGAATAGATTAGTCTTGGTAAGTAGAAATTTAGCTTATTGAGTCCACATATAGCCTCCATCTCTGCCATTTCACTCATGTGTCCATTGTGTCACCACTGGAGTAGCCAAAGACAGAGGGTGGTTTTCTGATAACTCACCAAGTCATTTTGCTTTCTTGGTTATTTAGTGCCTCTTCCACAATAAATGTTCTCTGATAGGTACTGACACATAATAAAATGATCTTCCACACTCTGTGCCCATTCCCATATATTCATTCATATGCTTCTACCCTAGACTCCCTGCCCACAATCTTCCATTATTGCTCCTTCCAGGCCTCTGAAGTGTTGACCAAGCCATTCAAACTTACCATGAGTGCAAATATATTCCAATCTTGGGAAACTTCTCAGTTCACACAAACTAGATGACCAGGCACAAGTCCAGAAGCAAATCCAGAAGCTCTGCTCACTGGGAAGACTCTTTGCTGCAAACATTGAGGTCATCCAAGTAAGACAGTAGTGCAGCCATCATCCATTTTTGGCTTGCAGCCACATACCAAGCCAGCCCATCTGTGAACCAAGCTCAGGCATTTTTCTCCTCCAGCAGCTTATAGGTGTAGTTGATGAAGAGGTACTAATGCAACAGTGGTAGAAAACACAGGGAATACCACTTGTTTATGAAGCTTACTTGTGTTCTCTGATACTGCTTATGATAAATCATAGATGAACCACTTCCATCCTGTTATGCGTTGTTGCTTGACTTACCCGATCTCATGACTTTCTAAGCCTGACAAAACCAAGATCACAATGTACAGTTCTGGATGCCATGGTAACCCACAATCGTGATACTCCCTCTATCAGGGCCTAGTAGCATACCAGAAGTGGCACATCATTCTCTAGTACAGATGATGTGGCCTTTCTCTTGAATCCCTAGGGTCTATGTTGCACTTCTCCCACTGAGACGTGCCATCAGTACAACACAGCACTGATATCTCAAATACCATAGGGTTTGCCAGGTGGTATGGCATCAGAAATAGAGCTGCTTACATTGCAGCCTGTACTTGCTGCAAACCCTTTCTATTTTAGGCCACAAAGTAGAAAGCTTTCAGGTGACCCAGTATATGGGCTGGAGCATTATCTTCAAGTGTGAAATATGCTATTCCAAAAAACGGTCCACCCGGCATAGTGCTCTCTTCTTTGTGTTTGAAGGTACAAGATTAAATAATTTATCCTTTTCTTTGGATAGATGTTCTGGCATGCCTTTTACCACTTGGACTTCTAACAATTTTTCTGATGTAGCAAGCCTCTCAATCCTCATAGGGTTTGTCTCCCATCCTCTAACACACATGTGTCTTGCCTAGGCCTCCAATGTGATATGCACTTCTTGCTTATCTACTCAATTAATTTGATGGTACTAATATAACAGTTTACATCTTTCAAACTGTTTAATGTATTATGACAGAATGGGAGAGTTATAACACTGAGGCAAAACTGTTAAACATATACTCATCCTTTTTATGAATGCAAACTGTTTCTAATTCTCTTTTCTTACAAGAGGAGGAGAATAAATTTGCCAAATCAGTGGCTGCATACCATGTGCCTGAGGGCACGTAATCTGCTTGAGCAAAGATGTCACTTGTGGCATGGGAGCTACAATTAACACTACTGCTTGGTTAAGTTTATAATAGTGTGCTAGTCCATTTGCATTGCTATAAAGGAAATACCTGAGGTGGGGTAATTCATAATGAAAAGAGGTTTATTTGGCACACAGTTATGCAGGCTATACAAGAAGCAAGGAGCCAGCATCTGCTTCTGGTGAGGGCTTCAGAAAGTCTGTACTCAAGGTGGAAGGGAAAGGGAGGCAGCATCACGTGGTGAGAGGAGGAAAGCAAGAGAGAGAGAGGGGAGGTGCCACGCTCTTTAAACAATCAGGTCTCATGTGAATTAATAGAGCGAGAACTCACTCATTACCACAGGGAGGGCACCAAGCCATTCATGATCCACCCCTATGACCAAAACATCTCTAGGCCCCATTTCCAACACTGGCCTCAAAGTCCTCAGCCTCACTGGTAAAGATGAAAACCAGTTTAATGAAGACACGAAAAAAATGAAGGAATGAGATGGAAAAGCTGATTAGCAGGTGCTGTAATTATTAAAAAGGTGTGATATTAGTGGTCCAAGGAAAAATATTTTGAGGTTAAAATCTTTATTAAATAATTAAAATCTTTATTAAATAATGCTTAAATAGCTCTGACTATACTTTGAATTTGACTATTTTTTATGCTTATAAGGTGGTGAATAAAACTGTGCATAAAGATTGCATTTAATTCTGAAATTCAAATTTAAAATGAAAATATGTATAAACCTACCAATCTCAGGCCAATGAATTAGTTGGAAAATATGCTATAAACGTAGAATAGACTATTTTTATCTATTTTATCTGCCTATTATAAAAAATGCTGGCATATTAAACAAAAGTAAAAATGAAGATAGTAAGATTTAGTATAATATGTCATATTTACATGATTTGTCTTATAATTGTGTAAAATGAGGGATGTGGAGGGAGTGACAAATGAATAACTGATTGTGAGAATGATCTTGATCTAGCTTCTCTAAATTTCCCAGGAAGATTCTCTTTCCTATCTGCCATAACAAGGATGATCTTCCTTAATAAGAAAGAATTTTTCTTAGGCCTAAGTTATACTAATAATTATACTCCTCTCCTAGTTAATTGCAGTGGCCCATAAAGTCCATTCAAAGAGAATGGGAAAGTACTGAGTAAGTTAGAATACTTAAAATTTTTTTGGATAATTGACTTTTTTCTTAAATACCAAACTAAACAGTTTTAAATTTTTTTCTGAATCATGCCAATATCCTCTTTCATATATAATTTCTAATAGTCACAGATGAAAATATCTAGAAATAAGTGCGAAGTTGTCCACATAGGGTTAACCAAAACACATAATTTAGATGGGATAAGATTAGTACAAAACAATTCTTTTTACTTTGTTTTGGCAGTAATTCATTTTTATTTCAAAATTTGATAGAAGAGGAAAACAGATGTCTAGTGAGATTGTACTTTGTACAGGAAAACAAAAGAATTTAATATATGATGCTTAAGAAGGTACTAGTAGTCGAGTTCAAAAATAAAGGAAAAGCTCTTTTTTGGTTCCCCTCTTAAATTTATCCTTTGTTTCTAGTGACCTCTAGCACAGAGTTCTCTGCTAACAAATATTATCTCCAGGGAAGCTTCCTGAGAATCATGACATCCAAAGCTAGAAGAGATCATGTATATTTTCTAGTCCAATTGTTTAATGCCTTAAAAGGCCAGGCAGAGAAGAGAAATGACTGTGTGTATCACAGTAGAGAGTGACGGGAACTGTGGCAGCTAGGGAGTGAAGGTACCCTTTGAAATGCACTCAGAACAAACAAAACATGTTCCAGCACTGTGCAAAAGTCTAACAAAACAGAGATGCAGACTGAATATCAGTGTATATGCTCTAATTATATTTTTTAACCTCAGAATTATTAAGCTTATATATGTTGGCATTTTACACATTAAAGATTGTCTTTCTCTTTCTCCTGAGATTATAAGAAGCTAAAGCTTAATTCTACCTGATAACATTGCATAATTATTGAGAATAATGTTTTGTACCTGTTTTGAATTCCTATTCCCCTCTCTTATCTACTCCAGCATCTAACAAAGTCCTGAGCATATGTCATGTTCAGTAAATGCATGAATTGAAGTTTTTATGATGATTTCCTCCCCTTGCCTCCTTTCTTTAACCTTAGCAAAAGATGTCACTCTTGATCAAAGCCCATCTCTCCATCTATGGTTTCAACTCCATCTCTTCCTCATCTCCTCCAGGATCTCCTATATTTTCAATCTCTCCCATTTATACAGGCTCCTTTCTTTCACCTTATACACATTTTAAATTTCTCTCTTCTTATAAGAAAAATAAAATCTTTCTTTGATTTTGCAGTTATTACTGTTGTCTCCCCTTCTCAATTAAAATTCTTGAAAAAAATCATCTGTTTATCCTTTTCATTCTTCTGGAGTAGATGTTAAATGCCTACTATGTGCTTGGCTTGTGGTAAGTGCTGATAATAGAACTTAATACTTAATAGTACTTAAATACTTAATAATAACTCATTTCATGGGGCTTTTCTCCTAGCAGGGAAGATAAGGACAATTAAACAAAGAGGCATAATTAAATGCTTCCCAAGGGAGGCACAGATACTTGAGGGGCACAGTTCTCACACATTCTCATTTACCATTCATTCCTTACCCCACTACTACTGTAGCCCTAACACTTCAAGTTGATAAAACCGATATCATCAAAGTCACAAAATTTCTTCTAAACTAAGCTAAGTTCCATGGAAAATGTTCAGCCCTTATTTTAAACCTTCTTCAATTGACATTAACTTGTAAGCACCTATAAAAGCTAATTTATTTGTGATGTAAATTCAGAAAGTAACATGATATACAGTATTTGACAGCTTTCTTTGAGATACAGATAGATAGAGATATAGATGATATAGATATAGATAGATATACAGATAGAGATAGATATAGACATAGATATTTTGGGGGCACATAGTCTGTTTGTTATGTGTTTAGGTAAGAGTTCTTCCTTTATTTTCAAGTAGGGAACTGGACACAGATGCAAAGAGCTCCAGGAAAAGCCCTCTAGTTCTGGATTGAGGAAAGGAAAGTGAGCTTCTAACATTCAGAGAGAATAGGATAATCCCTTGTCAATCATTTTTTTTCCCTCTTTTCCCCATTTTCTTTCACCCTAGACCCAAGGCAACCTTGTGACTATGATGCCTGTTGCAGCAGAGACCTACACAGAGGGTGTCTTAGTCTGTTCAGGCTTCTACATAACAAAATACCTTACACTGGGTGGCTTATAAACAATAAGAAATTATTTCTTACACTTCTGGAGGCTGGAAAATCCAAGATCGAGGCATCAGCAGACTCGGAGTCTGGTGAGGGCCCATTTCCTGATTCATAGGTGGCACTTTCTAACTGTGTCCTTACATGGTAAAAGGGACAAGGCAGCTCCCTTCTACTTTTTTTGTTTGTTTGTTTGGTTTTGGTTTTTTGCCTTTGTTCCTATTCTCTTCTTTTCTTTTTGATCTAAGATAATTTTTCATCTCTTTAAAATAATTTGTTATTTCTATAAGTTGATTTTTGTAAGCCTCTTAGTAACCACAATGCAAAAATCTACAATAGATTCACTAAAAATAAAAAGCAACATTTTAAAATATACAATCATAGAAAATCACTTAACCAAAAAGGAAGACAGTAAGAAAAGAAGAGAGGAATTACAAAAGGAATTAAAACAGGCAAAAAAAAAAAAACAAAACTGGTAATAGTAAGTGCTTACATATCAATAATAACATGATGTAAATGGCCTCAGTACTCTAATTAGAAGACATCGAGTGGCAGATGGGTAAAGAAACAAGACCCAGCTACATGCTGCCTTCAAGAAACCCACTTCACCTATAAAAACAAATAGACTAAAAGTGAAGGGTGAAAAAAGATATTCTATCCAAATGGAAACAAAATAAAAACAGCAGTAGCTATACTTATGTAAGATAAAATAGAGTACAAATCAAAGACTATAAAAG